TTTGGGGATTTTTTCCTTCTTCTTTTGCTAGATTTAACTCTTTTTGGTCAACTTTCTTTCCCAATAGAAGGCACTGATATGCATTATTTGGAATTTTCTTTTGTTTTTCACTGTGAAGTGTGAGAAACTGGGGAGAGGTTGAACTATGTGGTTATGGTGGGTTGTTCCTTCAATCACTATCTTGTTTGGGGAGGGCTAGTGTTCCTTTTCTTATGACCAGCACTATTCTCTGTCTGAACTCAATAACTATAACCCTAAATTGTTCTTTTAGGGTTTCTAGTGACTCTTGATAGCTACTACAAAGACAATCTTACTGAAATTTCAGTGATGAGAAAGAAATTTCAGTGATGAGAAACTAGTCTTAAACACTATGCCTGTTTTCCCTTTTCCTACCATAACTATAGGCAGATTTTTGTACCCTGAGTTTCTGATAGATGTAGAGTCTTACTCTGATGGTATTGCAGAGAAGAGGCTCTGACTACCATTCCTGTGTCTGCTAAAATCAGTGTCTGTTTTCTAATCCCAGCTTCCTACCTTGAGTAGACAAGTAGAACCATCTATTCTCTGTAAAGGAGATTTCTTGTGTCTTATGATCTCACAGTCCAGACAGTTTCCTGGCTTAAATGCAGTGACACCTTGCTCCCTCCACATCCCCCTCCTCCCCACCCCTGTGCATGTGTACACACATACACACACATATACACACACAAACACCCTCCTACTTGTTGAACATTTGGACTCGTTTACTAGCCTGAGACTGAGACTGGTGACTGGCGACTATAGAGGCTTATGGAGTAGAGGGGAGAAGAATGAATTGGATACTCAAGTATTCGGTCTGACACTTGGTCTACTAAAATTTCTCGAGTTCAGATTTTGAGAAATCAGAAACTGACCTATACCCAGTTTCTGATGATCTGGTGGATCTTACTTCCTAGAGGGAAGTCTCTGGGAGTCTGGAGAACTAGGTGGCTCTACATTTTGATCCTTCACTAATTTGGGGAATGTAATTTATACTGCAATGACTCTGAAGTTCTTTACTTAGGCACCCACTTTTAAAAATATGGTGCTTGGATTTATCAAAAGTCCTTCAGTGACTAGCTAATGAGAGTTGTATGAGGTATATAATTGACTTCTGTTTGTATTTTTAATGAATCTTTCCCTAATGCATTCTGTTCCTCCATATTTTATGGGTATATCCTTGCGTCCTTGCTTCAAGTGCTCCTGAGAGGTCTGATGACAGCTTAAATTTTATCTTTATAAATAACTTTGTTTCCCTCAAAAATATAATAATTTGGGCCGGAGCAATAGCACAGTGGGTAGGGCGTTTGCCTTGCATAAGGCTGACCCGGGTTTGATCCCCGGCATCACATATGGTCCCCCAAGCACCGCCAGGAGTAATACTTGAGTACAGAGCCAGGAGTGACCCCTGAGTATTGCGGGGTGTGACCCAAAAGGCAAAAAAAATCTAATAATTTTACTTATAAAATATGTATTTTGGAGTTGATTATTCCAAACCAGTTTTTAAGATTCAGGAAAAGTACATTTGATATTAACTTATACTTTTGCTTATTTCTGGATGATGATTTTTTATTATAGCCTTCAGTTTTATTGAGATATAATTGATGTATAGTACAATATAAGTTTAAGGTATGCAGCATAATGACTTAATTAACATATATTGTAAAATGATTATGCACAGTAAGCTTAATTAACACTATCGTCTCATATAAATAAAAAAGGAAGAATGTTGGTTTTCCCTTGCTGTGGCACTCCTTGAATCTACTTTCTTAACAATTTTCAAATAGACCACAGAGCAGTGTTAATTGTGCTCAACATGTTGTACATTGCATCTGGGATTAGAGTTTTAACATTAATTCTGTTTCACTCTTTGGTATTTCTATATTAGGTACTCCAGATATATGTAATTTGGTTCTTTAGCTTTCATCTCAATCACTTTTCCCTGAAACAATTTTCCTTATCTTATTTTCAGTTTCTTTATTATTTTTCTTTCTAGAGTGTCTTTTAATATATTTACATAAGCATATAGGAGCTGGAGTGATAGCACAGTGGATAGGGCGTTTGCCTTGTAACTCCTGAGTGCATGAGCCAGGAGTAGCGTCTGTGCATCATCGGGTGCAATTAATAAAGCCTGCTTGGTTGGGGACAGTTTTATTAGCCGCAAAAGAAGAAGAAGAAAAAAAGAAAATAATCCCAGGTTACCAACAATCCTGAAAATGATGGATGCATCAATGCAGTCTTAAGGGTTTGACAGCAGCATCATACAACTCTCTATATCTACATAAGGAAGACTACATACCAGTCAGCAAAGTCACCATTGACTACCAAAATGCCTACTATATCAACAATCATCAAAAAATGCAGGAGGGATACTGGGATCTGTGGTGGTGGGAAATGGGCACTGGTGGAGGGATTGGTATTTGATCATTGTATAATTGAAACCCAAGCACAAAAATTTGTAAGTCTACAACTGTACCTCACGGTGTCTCACTAATAAAAATTAAAAAAAAACTTAAAAAAATGCATATGATATTGCACAAAGAATTAAAGTGGTCTAGTTGTCTTCCCGGGCTGGAGTGATAGCACAGCGGTAGGGCGTTCGCCTTACAAGCGGCCAACATAGCCGACCCGAGTTCGATTCCTCCGCCCCTCTCAGAGAGCCCGGCAAGCTACCGAGAGTATTCGATATGCCAGACACAGTAACAACGAAGTCTCCAATGGAGACGTTACTGGGCCTGCTCGAGCTCGAGTTGTCTTCCCGGGCTGGAGCGATAGCACAGCAGTAGGGCGTTTGCCTTGCATGCAGCCAACATGGCCAACCTGAGTTCGATTCCTCTGCCCCTCTTGGAGAGCCTGGCAAGCTACTGAGAGTATCTCACCCGCACGGCAGAGCCTGACAAGCTACCCGTGATGTATTCGATATGCCAAACACAGTAACAACTAAGTCTCCAATGGAGATGTTACTGGGCCCGCTCGAGCAAATCGATGTACAACGGGAGGACAGTGACAGTGACAGTTGTCTTCCCAAAATCAATTAATCAATTGATCTATCTATATTTTGGGTCTTCTAACCAATGCTGGGGATTTAATGCTTGGTCCAGTGATACTAGGATCTATCAGGGCCAAACATGGTGGTGAGTGGGGAACAGTATGATACTGAGATCAAATCTGAATTGTGGCCTTTTGCCTACAAAGTCTACATATGCCTACAAAGAGTACATATGCCTCTGACCCTCAAGTCACCTCCCTAGTATCCCTTTTATCTAGTGTGTTCTTAATTTTGGAATTTCTGGTTCCAGTTGTATGTGTGTATATGGAGTGGAGTGTTTATACACATTTACGCAGGCATGTTTATTCATCAAACATTGGTTTGATGAATAATATTACAAATATGACAATTATTTTTACTGCTTTAAAGAGTTGGTGGGGCTTCATCAGTTGGAATGTTATGATTCACTTTTCATCATGAAATGTGTCTTTTTTCTTTTTGAAATAGATTTACATATAGTTGATTTGATATTTTTCTGTTATGTCTTTATGAATCCTATCTGTATACTGAAGTGCATTTTTACTGTCATTTATTACTGTAAGATTTTCAATTTTTCTATTTTGTTCCCTCTTCTTTTTTCACTGCAAGACCCTAACGATCATTACCCCTTGCCAATTTATCTGACTTTTCTCAGAAGCAAGACTTCTTGTCCCATTCTCTTTCAAACCGTCTTCCTTTTACAACTAAGTAGAGACTGATGTTTGTTTTGTACTTCTTGGTGTGGAACTTTTGTCTTTATAGAGGGATTTAAGCCTTGGCTTCACAGCAATGGAGGAAGGATCTGCTGGAATTTGATGTTACTTCTTTCTTCTGTTTAAGGAATTTGAAGTTCAACTCATGACATTTCCAGTTCTCGGAGTACTGACGTCTTGTTTATGTTTCCTTTTGTAGAGAATGTATACAGATTCAGACTAGAGGAGATTCAGAACCACACAGCTGCCATTATCCCCTGCACCGAATAAAGAAGCTCCTGAACTCGGACTTATAAAATATCAAACGCTACTGAACATTTCTTTTTTTCCTTTGGAACCCTACAAACTGCCTTTACAAGGGCACTGTCAAGGTTACGTAGATTCTGTTACAGGGCAGATCTGTCTTACACATTTAAAGATGTTTAGCGTGCTAACTCTCAAGCAGCCAATTAAAAGGAAATGAGATTTATAGCCTTCCTTTCTCATTTAATGTTTACTTAAAACAAAACAAAACCAAAAAACCCGTTGATAGCAAACGTTTTATTTATTCGTGGAAAAAAACGTCCCCCTGAGAATTTACCTCTCAGTTTCTATCCTTAGGCTCTCAGCGTTGCTTTCATTAATAAATGTTACTCCTGGAGCTTCAGAGGGGGAGTGTTCTGCTGCAACATTAGTCAGAAAACTGCAGCGAGCGGTAGTAAGCGGGGCCCAGGAAGGAGCTCTGCACTCAAAATTCAGAGCCGTTCGGTCAGTAAGAGCAAGTCTGAAGCGGTCCCAAAGACCTAGCATTTAGGAGATGCTAATCTCAGCGCGGAAGCTCGCGGCAGGAGACACCGAGAGAATCATTCAGCGTGTGCACGTGCGTGCGCCGGCGTGTGCGCGCGCTCGCCGGGTCCCGAGCAGCCACCTGTCACTCACGATGGGGTGTGGACGCCGCGGCGGGGAGGACGCAGAGGAGGAGGCGGGGCGGCGGTCAGGGAGGGGCGGCGCGGTGGCCGTCCGGGCAGAGGCCGTCCCGGCGGAGCTCGGCGTGCTGCAACTATGGAGACGCGGTAATCTCCTCCTCCGGCCCGCGTCGGGTCCCCGCAGCCGCCGCCGATTGGTCGCCCTTTGCTCCCTGACCCTCTCGCCGCCTCCGAAGCCGCCGCTTCCTGCTCGGGCGCCGCGCGGCGCTCCCGGCCTGGGGCGGAGCTCGGGCGCCTGGCGAGCGCTGCCTGGGCCGCCGCGGTGCCGCAGCCCGCGCCGGAGGAGGAGCCGCCGCCGCCGCGCCCTTCCCCTTCTTCCGCTCCTCCCCCGGCCCGGACCCACCCGCCGGGGCCCCCAGGCAGCACTCGCGAGCAGCGGCGGCCGCGGCCGGCGGCCGAGTTGGGAGAATGCGGCGGCGCTCGCGGATGCTGCTGTGCTTCGCTCTCCTGTGGGTGCTGGGCATCGCCTACTATATGTACTCAGGGGGCGGCTCCGCGCTGGCGGCGGGCAGCGGCGGCGGCGGCGGCACGGGCAGGAAGGTGAGTGAGTGGGGCGCGCTCCCCGCGCGAGGCCCGGATTCCCTGAAATCGCCGGCTTCCCGCTCTCCGCAGCACCCCGGCGGGTCTCTGCGCCGACGCGCCCCCTGCCCCTCTGCAGATCTGGAGCTCGGACGTGGCTGCGGGGCCCTGAATGGGCTCTCCGCTCCTCGGGTTCGCCTCTGTCCCCTCCCCCACGACCAGACACCCCCCTCCCTCCTTCCCACCCCCCCAGCTCCCGCGCGGCCCGCGTAGCAGAATCCCCAGGGTGGAGAGGTGCACCCGGCCCCTCTGCGCTTGCTTGCCAGGCTCGGGAGACGGCCGCCGGGCTCAGCTCGGCCAGGGCTGGGGACCGCGGACTCCTTTCTTGCCGACCCCGCCGGCCCCCGCGCCCCTTCGTTGAAGACGTTCCCCTCTTCTGCTGCACATAATTCAAGTTGAATCTTATTTATCTGGCCGCCGGGAGCTGCTTCCCGTGCGGTGGAAGTTTAAGGGTGGAGGTGTTGAAAAACACAAAAGAGATTGGAGAGGAGAGCGGGGAGAGGCGGCTGCCTTTCCAGCGTGTCATGTACTTGAGCAAGGAGTCCAAGTTTCTTTTCAGCCCCGGGGGAAGAACCGCAGCTCGTCCTTACCCTTGCCCTCCGGGCCAGCCCGCAAGCGAGAGAGGACCATTCCGCCTGCCTGCCTCTTCCTTGGGCCCGTCACCTTTAGGGGGCTCAGCGAGCCTGACCCGAAGCAAACCCTTGACTCCCCTGGAGGTGGTGTAAGGGGACGCTAGTGTGCCTTTGCGCAAGTGTTAACCCGACCATACCCTGTCGGTCCCGTATTATACCCGTGGCCCGGGCCCTCTAGCGCATTCCTTTCCCAGCTGCACTCCCCGGTGATGAAGAGATAGCCCCCTTTCAAAGAATCTGTGGTCAGTGGGCTCCGAAGGCCGAGTGATCAGGCCGTGGGTGCCGTGTCAGCCGCTCTGGGCAGCCCGTGGTATTCTGGAGTAATTGAGCGCCCTAAGACGCCCAGACGGCGCGGTCCACTGACCGCGCACCCGCTGGGATAGGCGGCTGTGCACGAGCTGGCGGGCCTTTTGTGGTTTAGTTACTAGCAGGCTTTGAAAGCAGCGTTATCCGCCCCCCACCCGCCTCCCAAATTCCTGTTACTCCATCATTGTGACGTGTAGTATCACCGCAAACCCAGGAAATTCTGAGATAATGGAGGTGGATTATAGGGTTGGACTGGACCCAGGGAATGGTATTCTGAAACAAGCCAGACAGAACTAACTGTAGATGAACAGAATTTAGCCCTAAAGGTTGATTGGCAAATGTCAGTGCTGAGGTTCAGTTGCTGTAGAGCCCTTCCTTCTCTCCTTGCCTCCTCAGATGGAGGAGGTGTCTTATCGTATTCCCATTAAATTTTCTGGGCATGCTTGATCAAGCAGAAGACATGAAGATCGTCTCTCCTTGTGCTGAGTTGGCTTAGCTTGGTTTTGAACAGACAGCAAGTTTGTCATCATGCCCCTGTTCCCTTTTTTAAATGTAGGGTACTTGCTATTATTTACAGAGTCTTTATTCCATCCATTAGAAGCAGTCCTGCCCTTTTTTTGGGGGGGGGGGCATTCTTGTTAATCTGGAATTTAAGACAACTTTTTTTTGTAAGTTATTTTAATGAATCACTGTGAGATGCAGTTACAGACACAAACTTTCATGATTGCATTCCAGTCAAACAATGTTCAAGTACCCATCCCTCCACCAGTACCCATTCTCCACCACCAATGTTCCCAGTATCCCTACCCCCACCTCCACCCCTTCCCACTCCCTGCCTCTGTGGCAAGCACATTCCCTCTTACTCTGTCCTTTTGGGTGTTATGGTTAAGGCAATTTATTTTTAACGCAAGTCTGATGTTCTGATGGCCCTGGTAAAGTTTTTCATGCAAAAGAAAATTGACAGATAAGTTACTCTTGACACTTCTACAATGTGTGCCACTTCAATTAGTATATGTGATTAGAAACAGGTTGTTGCGACCTTAGCATCAGGACAGGGTGTTTCCTTCTTGGTGGGCTTGAGCTGGCAATTGGTTTTTGAGGAGTCTTTCATGTTCACTTCTGAAGTGTGATCCTTAGTAATAATAATATAACAGCACATCATGGCCTGGTGGCAATAGGAAGTTACAAAGTCCCTGTCAAACAAGACTATGGGAAGTGAACAATCATAGATGGATCGGTATTTTGGGGTCTATTCATTTTGTCAGTGAACTGTAAAATTGAATCCTAGCCCCTAGAATGCTTTAGCAATTTTCAGTGGAAGAAGAGGTGTGTAAATGCAATAGCTTTGAAAGTGCAATAGAAAACTTATTACCTGAATGGTGGACCCTGAGACTGGGAGCTCTTCTCGGTGTTGACAGTACTGAACAGAACTCCTCAGTTGCAATGTTCTCATCTAGGGTATAAAATCATAAAGATTTCTTTCCTTCTGAAGAGTTTTTATAGATTGAACTACTAACAAAATGTTTCAAATTTAGTTCAATCTCATGATAAAAGGAAATATACAGATTATTTTTAACTTGTAAAATATGGACATAAGAAAGATAATGTGTTATGCATACAGAGGCAGAATTTAAATACTAGGTATAGTTTTTTTTTTTTTTGCTTTTTGGGTCACACCTCGCAGTGCTCAGGGGTCACTCCTGGCTCTGCACTCAGGAATTACCCCTGTTGGTGCTCAGGGGATCATATGGGATGCTGGGAATCGAACCCGGGTCATCAGTGTGCAAGACAAAATGCCCTACCCACTGTGCTTTTGTTCCAGCCCCAATACTAGATATAGTTTTTTGGATGTAAGTGGACTTATAGTTCTTCTCTTGCGTGTACTAGTCAAATTAAGACTGGTTCCATGTTTAACTAATCTCTCTCTGCCCTGACCTTTTTTTCATGGGGTGCCAGGCTTTGGCTTAGACTTCGGGGCATTGTCTGATGGGAGCCTGACTAGTATTTCTGCTGCTTCAGCACCCTGGGTCAGCCCTTTACTGTGTGCCCTGCCTGTTAAGTAACTCATCTCAGGACTTTTACTCTCCATTTGGTAAAACCCAGAAAACCAACTCTCCTCAGATTGCTGATTAAGTAACCTAAACAGAAGCAAGTCCTGAAAACTAACTCGGGCAATCATTGTAGCACAATTGGGAACTCCTTCATATTGAGGTTTCTGCGTGTGTGTTAGGCATATGTCCAATATTGTTTAAAATTAATTTCATTTATAATTGCGTCGGCCCCTCCTCTCTCCTGTGGTATTATGCTCTTTACCCTAAATTTGGTGATTTGCATTTCAAGGACACCATTCTTTCGAGCATCTGAAAAGCTGTAAAAATTTAATCATGTTAAGTTCCCCCGGGCTTTGGTGTGTTGGCAGTAGATGGAGTCAGAGAAGCTAGAAAGGGATTTTGGAAATGAACCTGCCTCTGGGTAAATTGTGGCTGTTTAGGATGGAGTGAGAAGGGATTTCCAGGGTCTGAAGAAAGATCTCTACTGAAGAGAGGGTTTTAAACCTGAAACTTAGGCGTGTACTTTCCACGTCCATGGGAGGGGAACTGGAGCGTGAACTGAACGACCCTCATGAATTCACATGTGCTGCAGCCTTATTCTGTGGCTCCAAGGGTGGAGGACTTGAGGTGAGGTCTTGTCAGAGGTAATTGGTGAAAGGTGTGGTGAGGGGGCCCAGTTAGTTGGACCTTGGTGAATGTCCATTATTTGGGGCTATGTTTAAAATACCAAGCTCAATAATAGGGAACCAGTCATTTTTTTTGAACTGGGTGGTGAATGAGACCAATTCAACCTTTTTTTCCCCCTCCCTCCCTCCCTCCCTCCCTCCCTTCCTTTCTTTCTTCCTTTCTTTCTTTCTTTCTTTCTTTCTTTCTTTCTTTCTTATAATGTAGGAGCACTGCTATTTATTCAGCCATTGATTAAGCTGATTGAATTGGGCATGCCAACTCAACTTTTTATGTTCAGTGCTTCTTATGAATGTACTGAATCTCTCCGGCCTTTAATTTTCTCATTTTTAAAAATGGGAGTAGTTATTTAGTGACTGTGATCTGAATGCTAGTAATGGGCTCTAAAAAGTTGTATGGATTGGGAGTGATGAAAGAAGAAAACCTAAATAGCCCTTGAAAATATCCCCCAGAGCTGGAGAGATTGTACAGGGGTTCAGGCGCTTGCCTTATATGTGGCTGACCAGGTTCAAATTCCAGCACCAAATTTGGTCCTGTGAGTACCATTGGTGGTGGTACAACACCTTCCACTCTCTTCCACTCTCTGCCCTCCCCCTCAAAAATGAAAAAAGGAGTAAGCAAATATGCAGTACGCTAGGAACTAGAAATCATTTTTTAAAAAATTTTTGGTTTGTTTTATAGCCACACAACTGTGCTCAAGACTTACTCCTGGCTCTGTGCTCAGGGATCACTTCTGGCAGTTCACCGGGAAACTTATGGGGTGCTGGGATCAAACCTAGGTTGGCTGTGTGCATTGTAAACACCCGACCACTGTAGTATCACTGTAAGCCCTGGAAGGGGAAACCTTAAAATACTGATTTTAACTTCTAAAAAAATTTCATTTATTCCCTCCTCCATTTCTCCAAGATTGATTTGTTTGACTCATTTGCACTTTTTATGCGTACTGTGAAGGACACCTTTCAGGGAAGAGGTCTGGATGCTAAATCAGTTCTCTTGAGCCCAGCTGTAGTGATCTTTTGGTTAGGTGTAGGTGTGTGTAGGTCTTTTAGTTAGGGGACAGTAGGAAAGGGAGCCGAGGACACATATTTCTGTATGGAGAGTCCAGGTCCCTGATGCATGCTTCACCAACTGGGAGTTTCTAGATACGAGCCCTCTTGCTTCCTCCCACCCAACCTGCAGGCTCCCTGCTTTCCCTCTGCAGCTTTGCTTCTGACTGGAGGGAGATAGCGATCATCACTCTAGAGAGTATGGTTTGAGGGTAAACATGAGGCTGCCATGTGCATTACTG